CAATGGATTCTTACTGGAACACTCCCTGATCTTCAAATTCAAAGTCTCCAACAATCAGGCCGAGTATGAGGCCCTGGTGGCCGGCCTCGAGCTTGCAAAGGACATGGGGGCAAGGAGGATAACCTGCCGCACGGATTTAGAACTAGTGGTCGGCCAAATGAATGGCAACTTCCAAGTCCGGGAGGAGCGACTGCTACAATACTTCCAACGAGCAACGGAGCTCGCAAGAATGTTCGAGAAGGTTGCCATACAGCACATCCCCAGGGAGCAGAACACAAGGGCCGACCTACTGTCTAAACTCAGTTCGGGAAGAGAAAAGGGACAGTTAACTACTGTCGTGCGGCAGGTTCTACTTCAGCCCTCAGTGGAGTGTTCGGCGGTGTCCGACGGGGGAAAAGATTGGCGGACAGAAATCAGAGAAATCATGACCCGCCAGGACGAAGGACGAGCGGTAGGCCCAAGTGACGCCAAGAAGGTCGCTCGCTATCTCATGGTGGGGGACGACCTGTATCGAAGAGGATTCTCTTCTCCCCTCCTTAAGTGCTTGGGGGAGGCAGAGGCGCGCTACGTCATGGACGAGCTTCACAACGACATCTGTGGTCCCCATACGGGTTGGCGGACGCTAAAGGCCCGGCTACTAAGAGCCGGATATTACTGGCCAACCATGGAGGCAGATACAAAGGCGTTCGTCCCAAAATGCATCAACTGCCAAGCACACGCCAACAACTCCCACTTACCCCCGCACGCCCTGCACTCAATCGCATCCCCCTGGCCGTTCGCCCAATGGGGCATGGACATCGTAAGACCGTTCCCCGTAGGGTAGGCCCAGAAAAAATTCCTCTTGGTGGCGGTGGATTATTTCACCAAGTGGGTAGAGGCCGAGCCCCTGGCAACTATCACGGCCGCCCAAGTTCAGAAGTTTTGCTGGAAGTTGATATGCCGCTTCGGCCTCCCTCGCTCCATCATCACAGACAATGGCCGACAGTTCATTGACAAGAAGCTCGCTGAATTCTTTAAAGGATTGGTGATTAAGCATATTACTAGCTCAGTAGAACACCCTCAGACGAACGGACAAGCAGAAGCGATGAATAAGACCGTAGTCTCGGAGCTTAAGCGACATTTAGGAGAAAGGAAGGGGGCGTGGGTGGACGAGTTACCCGAAGTCTTATGGGCGTATAGATGCACGCCTCACAGAACCACCGGCGAAACCCCCTTTAACTTAACTTGTGGTACTGATGCCATGCTGCCGGTTGAACTGGGAGAACCGTCACTAAGGCGACAGATTGAAGACCTACAGATCAACGACCAAGAGCTGAGGATCGAGTTAGATTCCTTGGACGAACGGCGAGACCGAGCGGCTTTGAGGGCGGAAGCATGTAAGCGAATGGTTGAAAAAAAGTACAACTCCAAAGTCCGGCCAAGGAGCTTCCAAGAGGGGGATCTGGTATGGAGAAAAGCTGGTGACGCCCGCCGAATCCCAGCACATGGAAAATTTGCTGCCAAATGGGAGGGGCCGTTCCGAATAATGGAAGCGCTAGGAAACGGGACGTACAGACTGCAGCGACCGGACGGACGCCCAATCCCTAATACGTGGAACGCCACACATCTGAAATTTTATTTTAGTTAATTCCCATGATTTGATGTCATGTACTGTTATTTCCAATAAATAAATGACAGGATGCTTCTTTTCTCACACAAATGTAATTCCATCAAGACCAAGTTGGCGAAGAATCTTCCATCGGGAACCACTCTCAACTTGGCCACATAACTACCGTCCGCCCCATAAAGACCAAGTTGGCAAAAAAGAGCGTTCCACCGAGAACTACTCTCAACTTGGTTGGGCCGCGAGGCATGGAACCGTCCGCCCCATAAAGACCAAGTTGGCGAAAAAGAGCGTTCCACCGAGAACTACTCTCAACTTGGTTGGGCCGTGAAGCACGGAACCGTCCGTCCCATAAAAGACCAAGTTGGTAAAAAAGAGTGTCCCGCCGAGGATCACTCTCAACTTGGTCGGGCAATAAACGTTCAAACAAACCCCAAAAATAAACGTTACCGTCCGCCCGCAAGAGAGTATTCCAAAGAACAACTCTTATCCGGGCCGGACCATGATTAGAGTGACAATTAATTTATAAGGGGATCGCCCCTTCCAGAAGATTAAAGAGCAAACAAGGAAACTTGCGAAATTCAAAGAAAATGTAAGTTGTGTATTAATCGTTTGCACGAAAACGTGCTCAGTTTTACAAAAGGATCGTCCGGCCAACCTCTAGGTACTCCAAGATGTTGGGCGGGCAGCCACATAATACACATCAAAAAATGAAAGATTAAAATCCTAACTATCTCCCCCGGCCCCGGCATCCACGGTCGGTTCGTCCCCCTCGGCTACATTCAGGTCCACTAGGACGCCATCAAAAACGTCCTTCTCGATATCAACGCCAAGAGAGTACGGATCATTAACGCCCGCCAAAAGAGACACCTGGCGAAGGGCTTTGTTGAAGCCTTCCTCGTGTTCAAACACGATCGTTGACTCCAACTCGGCAATCTTATCCTTGGCCTTGGCAACGTCAAGGGAGAGGGCCTCATTCGCCTTGGCACGTTCGGCCTCGGCATCCTTTAGGCGGGCCACCTCCACCCTCAGCTGGCGCCCTTCCTCGGCCATACGATCTTGCTCGCCCCGGGCGGCTGCCAAACCTTCCTCGGCTTCCCTTTGGGACTTCTCAAGATCGGCCTCCAGTTGCTCATTTGCCAGCTGGAGGGAGGCTGGGTTCTTCTTCTCGGCGTCCAGCGCGGCACGAACCTCCGCCACCCCCGGACGATCGGCGAACTCCTTCAGATACCAGGCCAGGGCGGACGTCCGAGTGGACATCTCCAACATAGCGTTTGTCAATTCCAGTTCGGAGAGGGGCTCAATGAGCGCCCGTTGGGAAGAGCTCATATGGAACTTTGCCCGGTCGCTCATACTGAACGCCGGACTGAAGATGCCGCCTGGCAAGGGAACGACCGGGACCCTCTCCCGATCTTTCTCTTTATCTTTGCCCTTGCGAGCTTTCTTTGACGCTGATCGAGACGAGGAGCCCTCCTTGTCTTTGCGTCCCTCGGCAGCATGATCCTTCCTTTTGCGGATCAAGGGAACAGCAGAGGCGGTGGCCGCATCAAAGGACGGATCCATGTGAACGGCCGCCAGATCTTGCTGGGGACGAGAACCTGGCGCCTTGACGCCCGAACCCGCAACTTCATCAGCTGAGGGGCCTCCTGCCTTCTGAGCAAGACGAACAGGCGGCACACGGCCGCCAGATGAAGAACGTCGTGGAGGGGGCGGACGGGGCATGGTGGAAACATTTGTTGGCTTGGCCGACGATGAGCTAGCCTCGGTCTTCTTCCGGGCGGCCATAAAGTTGGATTGGCGGGGGATAGGGGTCGTCATGAGCTCTGAGAAGAAACAAAACAATTCAGAAAAGTTAACGTTAGTACATTAAAGATAAAGACTCAACATAATAATACCATACCGAACGCCTTTTGTCCACAATCCTCAAGACTAAGGCATTCGACCAAATATCGAGCGGAAATCCGGCAGGGGAGGGAATTGATGGTGCGCACAGCCTCTAAATCGGATGCTGTTAAGGCTCCTACAAAAGTCGCCTTTATTCGCCGGGGATCCCTCGTCCAGTAAAAGGGGAACAACGGCCTCCCATCAGCATCATGGAATTCATGGCGGCCGATTGAGTCAATTATTATTTTGAAATAGTACTGCTTGAAGTTCTTGAAAGAATCAGAGAACGCGGAACAACGTCCTCTCCCTAACAGAGGTAAACGAGACCCATCCGCCGTTGGGGGCTGGACGAATTCAAAGAAATGGAAAAACACAGGGATAGTGGGAGTAACTCCCACGGCTAAACACATGGCCAAAAATGCTTGCACAGCCGCCCAGGAGTTAGGATGCAACTGGGTAGGAGCCACATTAACCTCTCGAAGGACGGCCATCTGGAACTTGGTGAAAGGCACCCGGAGATGAAGATGGGTGAAGAAGGTCAAGTACACATAGAAGAAGTCATCCGGGCTTGCTCTCTTCCCATAGTAAACCCTTTCGTTCCTCAGACTAACTCCCGCACGAATCAACCGGGAATCTTCTACGTCCCGGACAATGTGGGTCCGGCCGACCCTCCGCTCCAAATCTTGACGAAAGGGATAGGCGGAAGCAAACAGGCTAGGAACATACGGAGCCCCCTCGCTCACCACTACCCCTTGACCGTCCGGCTCGAAAGGAGAGCCGTCAACACGAATACCGCCCTTAAGCAAGAACATGGGCACGCCATGAAATATCCGATCGCCCATGACGACCGGCACCTCTGGATCCGCCCCAGAGGACCCAACCGCCTCCTCCAAAAAATGAGAAGAAACCGAGCTTAGAGAATCACCGCCGCTCCCTGCCGCCCCTCCCCGGACTCCGCTCGAAGACTCAGAACCCGACTCGATAGAAGTAACTGCCATTTATTACCTGAGGGAAAAAGAATAAGAAATCTTGAATGATGAAGACGAGTGAAAATGACCACGTCCCATCCCCTATTTATAGGAGAAGTTTAGTAACCGTTGGACACATCCTCGCCGTCCAGATTTAGCACGATCAACGCTCCAGATACGAAGACGCTCCCCCTTCCGCCACTAGGAGGGAACCACGTGTTCTTCCCGCCAAAAGTCCAAATTCAAAAAAGCCCACAGCACACGGCCCAGACGCGGACTACTGGCCCAAATCCACGCTACAATTGAAATCCTACGTCCACTACGTGCACTAGGACTTGGGGGGCTTGTGTACCAGCAAGGGGCGGGCGCCCTACGGAAGGACGCCCATTTCAACACGATATTAGACTGGTTAATGACCGCCCGCCCATTTCAAACATTGCAAACCCGTGAGATTACATTACCAATAACATAGTGACGTTTGAGTACGATGGGGGCGGGCGCCCATATTATACGAAATGAGTTCCACATCCCAAGGCCGGCCGCCCGATTATTAGACCTCGTGACAAATGGCCGGCCAAGCTACTAATCGTCCTGGCTTAATGAGAATCGACTTGGTTTAAGGTAAGTAGAGTTTAGAAGCTATTGGGCTGTCATGGGCCGTGATTAACCTTTTACTAATCCCAAGCCCATAGCGAAAACTATAAATACAAGTTCAGGGTGAGTGGTAGATAGGTTACATTGAATGCACATTTATTACTATCCCTAAGAAAAGCCACTGCTCTGAAACTGACTTTGGCATCGGAGAACCTTTTGCAGGTATCCACCCCTCAGGGCCAACGAGGAAACCAAGACTGGAAGAGAAGCCAGCCGTTGGAGCGAGATAACGGGAGAACTGGGAGAATTAAGAGAGCACAGCCCTACACATCCGAAACAACTCCATTTTTTTTCAATAAAACATCATATTTCTAATATTTTCTATTTTATTTATTTTCTCTATACATGGATTATTGAATTTTTCAATGCACCAATCGAATTAATGCTATTTTTGAACTCTTTCATTGATCATAATACCCATCTAAATTCAGGAAAAAAAAAAA